AAAATTGGGACCTGTGAAGACGAACCCGCGAGGACCGGGGAGCCAAGACACGCGCCGGCGTGCTGGGAGCAAGCTCCGCAGCCACCAGGGGCACTGCCAAGGCCGAAATTGCCGGCGGAACAACCTCTGGGACGCAACAGGCTGGCGGCAGTGACTCCGGACCACCGTCCACACCCTCCGTAACAGTCTGCTTACCCTTCTTCTTCTTGTTGCGCTTCTTCCTTCTCTTGACGCCGCCGCCCACAGCGCCGTCGCCAGCGCCAGGGGCAGGAGTCACGGGACGAGGAAGTGCAAGCAGCGCCGCGACGGCCGCTCGCGCTGGCGCCTCCCAGGAACGGAGAAGGCGCGCTGCCTCGCGCAGCCCAGCGGCAACGGCAAGGCTGGCGGCGGAGTGCGAGGCAAGAGCAGCAGCGCTAGCCGCTTCCATGCTGTGGGACTGCGCAAGCGCCATCGGCATCAGAGGTGTGAGGTCAAACGAGCTCGACACAACTTGAGCCAAATTGGCTCCACAGCGCTGAGCAGCCCCGACGTGCGCTCGGATCCGTCACCTCGTTCATTGGAACCTGCCACGCGGGCCTGCGGCAGCACTGCCCTCCAGAGGGCCCGCGGCTGGCTCCTGCAAGCACTGGTCCAGCTCGACTCGGTCGTGCTTGAACCGCTCCAGCTGCGGCAGTGGCAGCGGCGCCAGGGCGCCCGCACCACCGCTCCCCTCGAGCGCGCCCTCCAGCTGCTCGACTCCGTCGTGCTTGAAACGCAACAGCCGCGGCGGCGGCGGCGGCGGCGCCAGGGCACCCGCAGCACCGTTCCCCTCGAGCGCGCCCTCGGAGGTCACGTCGCCGCCAGCAGCATCGCTCGTCTCTACACGAGCCTCCGCACGCGTTAGCTCCCCGAAGCCGTCGCCCAGGAGGGTCCCCATCTGCGCGCTGCCCATCCAGGGAGGCGCCCTGGGCCCGCGCGACACCTTCCTGCTGCTGCGTCGGCGCCAGGCTGCTAGCAGCTGGCAGCGCCGCCCGCCAGCAACGCGTCCACGTCCGCTGGCTCTGCCCAGCAGCCTGGGGGCCGGCATGGTCAGAAGGGGGCCGCCTCCGTGCGCAGCCTGTTCCTGGCTGCGCGGACGGGCTGTGAGGCAAACCCGTACCTCGCACACCGCGGGCCCGGCCGCGGCCTGCACGCAGCTGGCGAGCGTCGGCGGTCGCCACTTAGAGGCCCTCGGTCGCTGCGAGCAGCGCCGCGCCCCTGCGGAGCTTGTCCAAGGGATTGGGCTGCAACCGACTCAGGAGGGCGGCCTGAGCGAGGGCTGCGGCAGCCAGCCGCTTGCCCACCTCGCCGTTGCCCACTGCCCGCGCCAGCGCTCCGTGAAACGCACGGGCCTTAACTAGCACCGCGCGCAGCCCTGCCGCGTTTGCGAGGGCTGCCGCCAGCCCGCGGTCCGCGCAGACCATGGCCTGCCGCCTCGCAGCGGTCCGCTCAGCGCGCAAACGTCGCTGCACACGCCAGGAATCGCAAGGAGGCGACTCCGCCCGCGCCATGGCCTCGAGCCCGCTCGCGCGCCCCCGAGCCTGGCTTGAGCCAAAATAACTTCGGAAATGCTGGTCTGCCGTGCTAGTCTGCTGTGCTAGTCTGCTGGTCTGTAGTGCTTGTCTGCCGATCTGGTCTGCTGGTCTCCCCGTCGGGGCCTCCCCAAGACCCCTCTCTTCCTCATGGACGCCTGCAGTCCGCGTTGATCAACAAGTTGGCGGGCTTGACGTCCCGGTGCATCACCTCACCGCCAGCAGCTCCCCCAGGCTGGCACGAAGGTGAGGGTGGGTACCATGGGTAGCCGTGGGGTTCTCAGATCCCCAGAGGCTTTCAAAAAAACAGTTCGGAACATCCTTGAGGCTTTGATAGCGGGAGGGAGGGAGAGAGAGGGGGTTGGGGGCAAGCCAGGTGCGCTCGCATCATATCTGACATCCTACCCCTCCCTCCCATCCCTGACCATGGCGCAGGTCCCCTCTCTACTCGCTCAGTCGGATGCCGAGCAGGGCAATGATCCCGAAAGGGTACGCGATGCATTGCAGAGCACGGCATGGCATGGCGTAGAAGAGCACCGCAAAGCGTAGTATCAACCTAGCATTGCATTGCATGCCGTGGCATGGCACGGGAAATGACGCCAGCGCTGCAGCGGGAGCACGAGTCGAAACGAGCGGAAGCGCGGAAATGAGGCCAACGCTGCAGCGGGACCACGATTCGGAACGAGCGGAAGCACGGAAATGAGGCCAGCGCTGCAGCGGGAGCACGATTCGGAACGAGCGGGGCCCGAAAACGAGGCCAGCGCCTCAGCGAGAGCAACATTCTGGAAAAAATGCATGCGAAAACCCAACTCCGGGGAAACCTGTGTGTAAAAAATCAATACGCGGGGGGTGGTCGGCCACTTTCAAACCGTCATCAGGGGAAGAGGGAGAGTAGTATTCATATTGAGTAATTGTGGAGGCAGAGGGGGATATGCAGAATGGTGAGGGCAGGGCGAAAAGTAAAGGGAGTGTTGCGCTCCTCATCCTCTTCCGTTGCCTTCTCCTGTTTCACCTCCTCCTCCTCCTCCTCCTCCTCCTCACTCCTCTATCGCCCCTCCTCCTCCCTCGCCCCTCCTTCATCTCAATATCCTCTCTCACTATCCTCCCTCCTTCCTCTCCCCACCTCCTCCTCCTCCTCCTCCTCCTCCTCCTCCTTCTCATCATCATCATCATCATCATCATCATCATCATCATCATCATCATCATCATCATCATCATCATCATCATCATCCTCATCCTCATCCTCATCCTCATCCTCATCCTCATCCTCATCCTCATCCTCACCATCACCATCACCATCACCATCACCATCACCATCACCATCATCATCATCATCATCATCATCATCATCATCATTATCATCATCATCCTCAACCTCTTCCTCTTACTACTATTGTTATGTTTCCTTTCACCTCCTCCTCCCTCCTCCTGTTCCTCCTCCTCCTCCTCCGCATCATCCGCATCCTCATCCTCATCCTCATCCTCATCATCATCATCATCATCATCATCATCATCATCATCATGATCATCAGCATCATCAGCATCATCATCAGCATCATCATCAGCATCAGCATCAGCATCAGCATCATCAGCATCAGCATCATAATCCTCAACCTCATCCTCATCCTCATCATCCGCATCATCCGCATCCTCATCATCATCAGCACCAGCACCATCAGCATCAGCATCAGCATCATCAGCATCAGCATCATAAACAGCATCAACATCATCATCATCATCATCATCATCATCATCATCATAAACAACATCATCATCATCATCATCATCATCATCATCATCATCATCATCATCAGCATCATCAGCATCAGCATCAGCATCAGCATCAGCATCAGCATCAGCATCATCATCATCATCATCATCATCATCATCATCATCATCATCATCATCATCATCATCCCTAGTCCCTCATCCCTCAGTCCCCTTCTCTCATCTCTCATCTTCCCCCCTCCCTCCATCCCTCCGTTCCCTTCCTTTTCCTTCCCTTCCCTTACTTCCTCCTCATCCTCCCCCTCTTCCTCCTCATCGTTCCACCCTCGTCATTATCTCAACGCGTTTCCGCCTCCCCCTCCACCATGGACCAGGAGCCGCATTCGACAAGCGACAAGCGCGAGGGACCGTCAGTCGGAACGCTCCTCGGAACACCAGACAAACGACGGGGCGGGCGAGGCGAAGCTTGCATGCTTCCAGGCGACGCAGAAAGACGGACTGCGCCTCTTCTATCTCGTGCGCAGCTCCGATGGACCAATCTCATGTTCAACCGCCGAACGGTTCTGGCGGGGCTCTGAAGGCACTCCACACATGACGGGTTCCAAAAACCCCAAACCCAAAAATGTTGTTACTTATTGGAAACCAACTTTTTACTTCCGCCACCTTCCGCCAGCCTTCTGCTGGCTTCCGCGGGCGGAGGCGGCCTCGTTTTACATCCACCGCCTTCCGCCGAGATGGCAGCTCCTCCGATTCTCAAGTGCAAGGCCCTTTTTGGAACGCTCCACATAGAGACGACACGCAAGGCTTGATCGCATCCCTGCTGGCCGCTGGGCCCCCCCTCGCCCAACAGGCAGGGTCACGAATTGAATAATACTGCCCCCGGGGTCTTCCTCCAGACTCTTCGGCAGACCGAGCGAGTGTCTTCAAGATTCGTGTCGCTCCTGGCATGTTCTTGCTTGGGGACGTCTCAGGAGGCCGACCGGTTTCCCTGACGGTTCTGATCCCGGGGAAGGCGTCGAGGGGTCTGGGGGCGGCACATGCCTCGAAACACAAGGCCGCCTAACTTCGCGCTTCACGCTGCGCGAAGCGCGAAGCGTGAATGACTCTGCGCTCTCGCGCCGCCCCCGACGGGAGAAGAGGAGGACGAGGAGGAATCGGAGCCGAACCGCGAAGCGCCGAAGCGCAAATGGCTTCGCGCCCTCGAGGGCGCCCTTGTTATGGGGACGAAAATTGACACAAACATTAAAACTCGTCCGCGTGGATGTCTCGGATCGGTGCTCGACCCCCCTCCCTGGCGCGCGGAGCGCGCCAGGGGCGGCGGCGCCGGAGGCGCCGCCAGGGGGCCCCAGCGCCGACCCGAGAAATCCGCGCGGACCTCAGCGTTGTTATGCTTGTGGAACTTGTCGCTCTTGGTGGTCCCCAAACGTGGTGGTGAGAACACCTGGTGGTGAGTTTTGGGCGATTTGGGTAATGGTTTTCGAGCGCTGGCTGGCCCAGGAAGCGCAAAACCATGTGGCGACCGCGTGTCCCCAAACCCGGTGGTGCCCCAGAATTATTCTTTGGGGGAATCGGGGTCACCACTGGGTGTCTCACCACCTGGTTTGGAGACCACCAACGCTCCCCCTGCTTTTGTTGCTCCGATCTCCCGGGGAAGGCGCCGAGGGGCCCGGGATCGCCCATGCCTCGAGACGAGCCGAGGCGCGCCGGGCGCCTGTGGGGTGGCGGCGGGAGACCGGGGCCAGCACTCCCGGCGCCCGCGCCGTCACCCCGGAGCCCCTGGGGACTCTGGCCTCTCGATGAGAGGGCTCCGCCTCGTGTTAGGTCGGGCATGTCCTCCTACAGGTGGATTCTGGACGGAGGATAAACATGATCAAACCAGGTTCTAAAAGGGCCAACCAAGACTACTTTTCGACCATTTTTGAATATTCCTCCTGTAGAAGGACACGCCCGACTTGAGCCTCGTTCCTCTCTTCCGTTCCTCCACCACCCACCTGGCTTGCCAAGAGTCGCACGCCGCCTGGCAGTCCGCACGCCTGCCCGTCAGCCTGCCTGGCTCTCTCTCAGCCGCGGCTCCCAAAGCTCCTTGGCCCTGAGACGCGTGGGCAGCCGGCGCCCGCGCTGCCCTGTCGGTGGCCCCGACGAGGTTGGGGGACACGGTGCAAACCCGAAAGGTCTTGCTTCTGCACGGGGGGGGGTGCTCTGGGGGGGGGAGAGAAGAAACAGGGGCCACCTGCACGAGACGACGCTCAGGCGTGCAACCTCTCGGGGGTCACTCCCCCCCGATGGGCTCTCGGTGGCAAAACGTCCCCCTCACTCCTCTGCCCGCCATGCTCTGGGCATCCACTCCCCCGTTCATTCTCTGGTTTCGTGCGCTCGCTCTTCGCGAAATGATCTAAGCTGCCCCTCGGTGGTCCAGATTCTCTGGCGCTGGCCTCGCCAAGAGAAGATGCGCACGTCCGAGCGATGCCAAGACTCTCAGGGAGGCCGCCGAACCGCTTCGTGCTGTGCTGGGCACCCCGACCTCGCAGCGCGGGCCCCGCTCTTAAGCCCGTGCGTCGGCTCGGGCGCGCCACGTCTCAGTCAGTCGTCGGCGTCGACTTGGCCGTGCGGCGCGCTGCTCCGCTCGGGACTCTAGCAAGCCACGGAAGCTGCTGGCCGTCCCCATGGCGCCCAGTGGCACGTCCAATCGGGCGCAAAGCGGACACGATGCGTCGTCAGTGGTCGCTGTTGGGCGCCACTTGGGCGCCATTCGCCCATGTACATACATACACATCTAATCCAAAACGAGAGACAACCTTCTTGCCTTACTACCTAACGGCACCTGTTGCCTTCACGCAAAGGCCGCCACAATCGCCTTCCGTCATCCCTTCTGCCAGGTCTCCTGACTTCGCGCATCTCGCCCCTCGATGCTTGATGCGCGACCTGCGGTTATGTTATCTTCGCACCGTCGCGCCGCCCCCCAGAGAAGGCCACCTCAGCGGCCCTGGCCGCGACGCACGACGGGGTGATATCTCCGCGCTCGATGTCCTCGAGAAGCTCGATATCCTCGAGCCTCGGACCTCCTCCTGCTCGACCTCCTCGATATCCTACCAGACATGCGATGTCTTGTTCTTCCAATACGGGGTCCCCGAAGGTCGGACATGTCCCTCTACAGGCTGATTTTGAGCGACAAAGCAACCATATTCTGCAAATGCGCGAACAGATAGATTCAAAAATAATTCAAAATAATAATCCCCAGACTATTTTGTTGACAATTTCTGATACTTCCTCCTGTAGATGGACAGGCCCGACTTAACCGAAGTCCCCAGGGCCGAATTTTCATCCCGGACTGCTCCTTGAGAGCCCTGGGGGCCTGGCGAGGGCCCTCCCGAGGACCGCAAAAAAGCAACAAAAAGACGTCCATCCTGATTTGAGCAGGGGCCGACCGTCCCGGCATTCCTACAGGCCTACCACGACATGTTCGTAGAGCCCAAACATGTTCTGAGAACACATATGTTCGTAGAACACAAACACGATGTACTAAACCAAGACAATCCAGCCAGAAATGTTCTGCGAACATGTCCCGGGAACCACAGAAAAGGTTCTCAGAACATTGATTGTTGGGCCTATGGGTACGCCGGGACGCTTCGCAATTGCTTGACTGATTCTCTCCCGTGCGCCTGAGTTCAGAGGACGCTCCTGGGAGCCTTTCGTAATCGCCTGAGTGGCCGCAGTGGCTCCTCCAATGCCCACCGTTGGACCCCAGCGGCCCCCCGCAAGCCTAGAGCCGCCTCCCGTGGCTCCACCAGTGGCCCACCCGTGGCCTCCAGTGGCCTCCCGTAGCCCTCAAGGGCCTCCAGCGGCGCGAGCAAAACGACTGTGGACCACTGGAGGCGCAGGAAAGCCAGGCCAACTGACAGTAAGAGGCTCCCAGGATCGTCTCCTGCACCTGAGATCTTCGAACCTGAGGCCACCAACTTCTCCTCGGGGGGCCGCCCCCTTCTGCGTCTCCCCCCCCCCTCCCCCGCAAGGCCACGGCCGTCCGAGTTGGGAACGGAGCGCGCCGGCTAGGCTTAGATCGGGCATGTCCCCCTGCGGGCGGATTGTGGACGGAACATGTTTTGTTGGTTTAAAACTGCCCCCAATGATCAAAATAGTTTAAAAAATCGTCCCCAGAGTGTTCTGGGCCTATGTTTGCAGATTCCTCCTGGAGAGGGGCGTGCCCGACTTAAGACTAGGTATGGAAGCGGGACTGGCCGCCAATCCACGCGCCGGAACCCATGCTTGCCCAGAGCAGGGCGAGTTGGGCCAACGGCAGCTCCGAAGCGACCTTCGGACCCCTCCTGCTGGCCGTCGCTCGGGCGTCCATTCCCTTTTTGTTGTTAGGTTTCGTGCGTAGTTTTTCGCCAGATGATCAAGGATGCTCCTCGATGGTCCTCGCCGAAGGAAGAATGCACACGTCCGAGCGATGCCAAGTCTGGGGTCCCGATGCACTCCCTGCTCGAGCTGGGCCCGGCCGTGGCGCCCAGCCCCCCCCCCGCCCCCTGGAAGTCCAGCTGCGGATACCTCGGCTGGCCATCTTCGGACCTGCTCTTCCTCGACTGCCCTCGGCGCCGCCAGAATTTGACCATATCCACTGCTGCTGGGTCGTGTTGCGAGGACTCGGGGAGCGGCGGATATGGATATCTGCCCGCTCACGCGGGCGGGCAGATATCCATATCCACTGCTCCTCGAGATTCCAGGGCACGACTCCGAAGCGGTGGATGTGGACATATTCTGGCGGTGGACCCTCGGGAGGCCGCCCATCCTCTGGGCCTCCCTCGGCGACTCCGAAGGAGGCGGTTTGCCGAGGGTGTGTTTTGCAGCGCGCACCCTGGGGGGGCGGGCGAGAACCTCGACGGCGCTCTCCGCCGCGCCCCGAGGAGCCCCTCGTCGTAGTGGTGCCCCCCAAGCCCCAAGGACGCAGATCGCAAATCACACCCCGGCGTAGCCACACCCATGTAGTCGCAAACCCTCCCCCCGCGCCCCCGAGGGGAGGGCTTCGGCAGAGTGCACGTACTTCAGCGCGCGCAGCACCTGCCGCCCCACCGCCCCGCCGCCCCCCCCCCCCATGAGGCGGTGGCAGTGGAGTGGGGGCTGCTGGCAGCCTCCTCCTCATCCTCTTGCTCCTCCTCCTCCTCCTCCTCCTCCTCCCCCTCCTCCTCCTCCTCCTCCCCCTCCTCCTCCCCCCCTCCGGCTGCTGAGCTTCAACGCTGCCTTGGACGCAGTCGTGGCTTCAGCGTCGAGGGGGCGAGAGGCAACGGTCACACCGGCCGGCAGGGCCCACACGCAGTGTGCCAAGGCGGACAGCACGTGCCGTGCGCTGACCACGTTGCAGAGGTGCCGGGCCCCGAGGCGAGGGGGCGGTGACGAGCCACTGCGCGGTCGGGTGGCGGTGAGGCTCGGGCGCGGGGCTCGGAGATGCTCTGGAGCGGGACAGGGCGGACGACTGCGGCAGCGCGAGGCTCGTGGTCTGGCAGAGGATGGAGGTCAAGGCGGAGACCTTCAGCCCGCCGCACCGCCAGAGGCTCTGCGACACTGAGGGGACCGCAGCGGCATCTGGACAGGCCCTCGTTTGGGAAGTCCAGGCGTGCCTACACCAAGTTGGCCAAAGATGCTTGGCGCGACCAGGCAGGCATCCGACCGAAGCATAGAAAAGATGAGCAGGTCGTAGTCCATGAGATCTGCACCAAGTCTGGGATCGTGGCGAACCCAGCATACGTCATGACAAGCAGGGCCACCGAGTGCATCGGGCTGTCGCAGGACCCAATGGGCCATCTGATGCCAGTGACGTCCAGGCGCAGCTGGCCAGGACCCCGGAGGCTGCGCAGGAGGAGGACTGCCCGCCGCTCGTCCAGGCTCCCGTGGCCACGATCCGCGGCACAGAACTGCGGAGCCCCCCCCCCCTCCCTCGCTCGCCCTCTCTCTCCGCTCCCGGCCGGCCAAGCGTGAGCTCGCCGACGCCCGCGCGCTCCCTGGGCGGCGTCGGGCCTGGCCTTCCGAGGGGCAGCCGAAGGACCGATGGCCCGCGGCTGCTGCTCGGATGGCATCTGTCTTCCAAACAACATATGCCCGTGTGTCCCGTTGCCTGCGGCAGGGCGCGGCCTCTCTGACGATCGGGAGCAGCGTGGCGTAGCCCCGACGCACTCGAGGGCACGATCCGCAGAAGGCGGTGGGCCTGCGCCTTCGAGGCCACGACCCCAGGTCAAGCAGGAGGAGCCCGAGCTCTCGAAGCCACGGCCCCCCAGAAAAAACAGTGGACCCGCGCGAAGCCTACATCCTTCGGCAAAAGCAACAACGGGCCCGCGCCTTGGAGGCTATGATCCCCGGTTGAAAACAATGGACAACGCCTTCGCAACGACGATCACATGTAACATACAACGGATCCGCACTCCCGACGCCACGATCCAACATCAACACATCATTTGTTCTGCGCTGCCGGGGCGACGTGTCCGTGCATACAACTCGGGGAGCGGCACTCCCGAAGAGGCACGCTATATCTCATAACAAACTATGATGGAAAACGACTTCGAAGCCACGATGTCTTGTTTAAGAATAAGGTATCGGCGCCAGCGAGGACACGATCCCTTGTACCACAAAATTGACCACGCCCACGGGGGCAACGTCCTGCTCTGAACAACAAGGGGACCGCGTTTCCAAGCCCGCGGGGCCTTGCAAAAAAACTGTGGACCCGCACCTTCGAG